TAGTTGAGTTTAGTTAAAAATAGCTCAGCTAATAGGTCAGTCGGATTTCCTTGTAATACACAAATATAAAAGGCTTAATTAACGAGGTAATGTTACATTAATCTTTACCAGGTAAGGCTCACTGAGCTATATAAATGTTTTTTTTAAAGCGCCCTGGCTACAAATGACAGCTCAACGAAGTGGCTTATGTGGAAATGTCTAGCATCCAAATACTCTGATCGCACGTTGCTAAAATATGGAGGGAAAACCCGGAGAGCCCGGAGACAAATCCACCCGGGCAATTGGAGAACAAACAGCGAATAAACAGCAGCAGGCATCAGGGTCGGGATCGCAACCACGGCGCCTGTATACGAGGCGAGGAATTTCACATCTCGCCACCGTGGCGAGCCATGAGCTGCGAGATTGGTCATTACAGATTGAATGGGACCTCCTGCTCAAGACGAGCTCTGAGTCATTGGTGTTCACAGCCCTGAGCTCGTGGTGGACACGACACGATCCTATTACGGGGGGGGGGGGGGGTCTATCTGTGTTACTACATCTCGTTGACTTCGGCGGAAACTACTAATTACTTTATCCCATCCAAGGGGAGGTGGAGGGCAGCATCGCCATGTAGTGTTTTTTTCACAGCTGATGATGATTGCTTGTGTTTCAGTCGAAACGTCATGATAACTTTATTGTTTAATATTTATTTTATTTTATTGTTTCTCTTCTACGTGACTTTACCGAAAGAACCAAGAATATAAGCATCATCACCATCTAGTGTGCGACATCATCATCACCATGTAGTGTGTGACATCATCATCAGCATGTAGTGTGTGACGTCATCATCACCATGTAATGTGTGACATCATCATCACAATGTAGTGTGTGACATCTTCATCACCATCTAGTGTGTGACATCATCATCACCATGTAGTGTGTGACATCATCATCACCATGTAGTGTGTGACATCATCACCTTTTTATCATCACCATGTAGTGTGTGACATCATCATCACCATGTCGTGTGTGACATCATCATCACCATCTAGTGTGTGACATCATCATCACCATCTAGTGTGTGACATCATCATCACCATGTCGTGTGTGACATCATCACCATGTAGTATGTGACATCATCATCACCATGCAGTGTGTGACATCATCACCAAGTAGTGTGTGACATCATCATCACCATGTCGTGTGACATCACCATGTAGTGTGTGACATCATCATCACCATGTAGTGTGTGACATCATCATCACCATCTAGTGTATGACATCATCATCAGCATCTAGTGTATGACATCATCATCACCATCTAGTGTATGACATCAGCATCACCATCTAGTGTGTGACATCATCACACCATCTAGTGTGTGACATCATCATCACCATGTAGTGTGTGACATCATCATCACCCGGATTGGCTTGGCTGTTGCTTTTGCGCTCAGTGTGCCCGGGATGGTTGAATCCGTGCTGATTGGAAGCACCGTGGCGCCGGATTGTGTTGGAGCGATGGCCAATTCACTAGAAAGCAACATGCGGGCAAGCTGTCCCTGCTGTGGGGTTAATTACACTGCTCAGAGTCCACTAGGGGACACCTTCAATGTGCCGGATTCAGCAGGGCACAAACCTGTGGATTAACACAGCTCTTACCATCATTACCACGGACGACAACGACTCATGCCGGATACGCTGCACATGGAAACAATCGTCTTCACTATAACCTGCTGTATGGGGTGCCGCGGTGGTGAGATGTTAACTACCTCGCTTGCTATACAGGAGGTCGTGGGTTCGATTCAAACCTTGACGCCTGCTGTATATTTTGAGTTTGCGTGTCTCCCTCTCTCTCCGGATCCTCCGGTTTTTCCTCTCCACATTTTGGAACATGCTTTGAGAGTATTTCGCTGCTACGCTTCGTTGCGCTATCATTTGTGACCATGTCCCTTCTGAGACAACGGCGACAGCTCAGCGGGGCTTTAGCTGGTGGCCAAAGCTAGGAGCTGGGCCCCCCTTGACAAGCACCATGAGATATGTGTTCAACAGCGTAGAAGAACGAACTCTTATGTAATTATAGGATGTGATTAGGCGAGAGAAGAACCGCGATGCAAAATAGCATCGGTACGACCGTGCGAGACAAATTCAAATATTCGGGCCCCACGTGGCCGATTTCCGCACCCCCTGAGCTGATCATGTCGTTACTACGTCACTGTTCAAGATGCACCTGGCCTCATGTTGCTTGCCCTGCACAGAGCTAGCAATGAAAAATGCCGGGAATCCCTAAAGGCTCCAGTAGATGGAGGTGGCGTTCTACTCGCTGCGTTCCGTGAGCTTCTGTCCCGAACGGCTGAGATGTTCCACTTTAAGCAGAGCCATCAATCACCGCGGAGGTGATCGATGAACTTCTTTCGCGCCGTGTAGACAAACGATTGCACCTCCGATCAGATGCCAATGTCGAGGTCTGCCAGCCACGAGATGGCTTTAGGAGAATGTTCCTGTAAGTTGTGCGGTTCCTCCTCCTCCGTTGAAGGAATATCGACTGCAGTGGGTTTATCGCGTCCAAAGTTTTTGGTTGCATGGCCACGATCGCACTCCTGTGGCTTTTCTTTAATTTAACATTCATGAAGGAGAAGTGCGCATATGGATGTCGATATTGTGATGCATGCAGATGGTTGCACCAGTGTCATCTAGAAATGCCAAAAGCCACGGGGTGCGGTCACTGTCCACAAAGTGATTATCTATTTTTCAGCGTGCGCCCGGATGACGGAAAAGGCCTCGAGTTCACATTTGAATAATATGATGATGGAATTGATTTGTCGGACGCGGAGTGGGAGGGTACTCCAGATTGCAGGGGTTGTGCATGAGAAAGCTCGTCCACTAATGGTTTAAAGCAAAGGTTCTTAACATTTGCTGCAGGCTTGCACTCTTTCGGTTCTTAATCGTAAAAACAATGTAAGTTAATAAATATACAGAGGGTTTGATAAAACAAAGTGGTTGTGCTTACGTGCCCGTGCTTAATTTGTTTCGATGATTTACCTTCTAAAAAAAGGGCATCTCGCACCGGTAAAAAAATGCGTGCACCCCAGCTTAAGAATCGTCGATTTAAAGTCCGACCTGGAATATCCCTCCTCTTCGTCTCGAAAGCAGAGAGTCCGTGAGTATATAAATTATAATTAATTCATTATAAGTATATTTATTCTAATTAATATATTATAATAATCTTCTTAAGAGCATTACGTAAAATCCACCGCGAATTTAAGTTTACTGCGCACGAGTCTTAGGGTTCCATCTGTCTCTCTCAAGGACGACTGTTTCATAATTTCGAATCAAACTTTGTTTTATGCGTTCTCTTGCTCCCGTCGTGGGCTGTAACGGCTCAATCATTCATGCTTCTTGTTTTGTATGTACATGCATGTTGAACTTCTTTCACATCGTACGTTGCCAACCGTGCTAATTGGAGGTGCGGGGTATGTACAACTAAACACAAAACGTTCTCAAGAAATGCGTTTCCAAATTAGATTAGAAAGTGCATAGCTCCAGTGGCTTCCTAATATCTGAAGGTGCGTTCCAGACGGCCGCAGAAGAGCATCCGAAAGCACTGCGCGATGGTCTTTGTTCGATGGCCAGCCAAAAGCCTTTTCGAAGAATTTCTCACTTTTCCCAAAGCATTTTAATTCCGTGTATTCTCACCCTTTTGTTCGAACTTCTCCGTCTCTTTGTAACCACAAGTCATGGACGGTAAGGTGGAAATCTGGCAAACCGACTGATACTAGTTGTAATTACCAGCGAAAGGGCACGGTATTCAAATTGTACATGTAGTGGGTTTACTCTCCAATCCACCGGTGTGCTGTAGTACTGTAGTCACTTATTGGCACGTTTGGTTTACGTGACAAACCTTGTTAATTAGCTGTGTCGGGTGGCGGATTCAACGACACATTTATATTTAAGCGCTCGAACCCACACAAAAAGAAAACCTTTATTATAGATTTTGGGGGGGGGGGAGGTTTTAAAGAATACAAGATATTTATTAAACCACAAGGCATATTCACCTACTTATTGTGGTGCTCTATGCCACATCTACAAACATTTTGTATCCCGATTAAATTACTTGTAATATTTAAATGCTGCGCTTAAAGTTCGTGTGCTCGACAAAACATGAAACTTTCCGTTTGCGTCCCAGTCAGTCGTGACATTTTAATTGTACAAATACATTCCCCGTAGACGGCATCAACTTTAAATTAAAACAATGCAAAGTGTATTTCCATCCCAATCAGTACCTGATCCAGTGATGGAAATTCTACGTTCCTATGGACGTGGCAAGTTTATCCAAATAACTGCCGGACAACAGCACACGAGCACTTGGGAAATTCTATCAGATGTAATTAATCCCTCGTGGCAAAATATGGATATCAGTCTGGTTAAGAATTTTTTTTTTTTACAGAGGGCGGCATAGTCTTAATTATTCATGGTGTGGCGTGAACAAAGATCCCGGGTTAGAATCATGCCAGCCAGCCAAGATCAACGCACATTGTTTTAAGTGCAACGCGTTCACGGCCTTAGTCTGGTGACTTCACAAAATTATCATTCGATTGTGCTCTTAATGCAGCACTCGGGTTCTGAGAACTAAGAAAATTGGGTTTGCCAAATGCCACGATCGAGGCCTAATGGAAGACGGTAAACATCTTCTGTACGTACGATGGTGTTCTGCTGCTGCTGCTCAACGTTGAATTCTGAATTTAATATTTTTTTTATCTCTAATAGGAACACTTGGAGAGCATAAATTGCGTAAAAAGTTTTCAAAGTAATAAAATACCTTCCTCTTCAGATGATTATCACGCAATACCTCTCCTTAGAACGATTAATGTCTTTGCTTTTTACTAATTTGGCAGTTAAAGAGCAGTATGTGACGATGCTGGACATGCGATTGGTGTGCATTACTCCACTCAGGGTCGGGACTCAATTACAAGTAAATCGATCCACCGAAGTCACGCAAAACTCAAAACACACAGCACTTAAATATTGACATGAGATTCAAGTACTTTATTAAAACTTATTTTCAACATTATTTCGGTCTGTGTTGTTTACTACAAGTTCACAAAAAGCCTTGTAATAAGCAAAAAAGACGACAAAAAAACAGGGCCTTAGGATATACGTTGAGCTTACAAATCCTGAAGACTTAACAGCGCGTATTTGCAAAATTTGGCAGCCGAGCATGCAAACACCACATTCGGCTAAAAATGAAACAAAACAAAAAAAGTGCCACGCCAAAACTTTGCTGCCACTCACAGAGCCGAGCCACAGTGGGGGGTGGTTGCCACTTGACCTCCTCGTGCACCGGTTGACACCCACCAACCCTTGATGCTGCCCGTGCCTCCCGGCATGCGACGGGGCCAACCTCTTCTTCTTCCTCCTCCGTCGGCGGCTAATAAAGGAGGGAGCAGCAGCAGCAGCACCACAGCCATAACCACCACAGAACCAGCAATCCTTGGGCCGGGGAGGAGTCGATGATGAGCCGATGAGGATGAGAGACAACGGGAGGAAGGGAAAAAAATGGTTCTCGGGCATATTTTTGTTTTGTAACTTGGAATAACAAGAGTTTATTTTTTTTCAGATTTGGGGTAGGAGGTGGGGGGGAGGCAGGAGGGGAGATAAGAGGCTGTGAAATTTAAATCTAAATCCATGTATGCATGAAATATGCTCACGTTGATAGGTGCTGAAAAACATCATTTTTAGGTCAACCATATAACTATACCAAAAAAAATGGGTGGCGATAATAATGCTGATGTGTTTATATTAATTGGATAAAACAATACTCGGGTTCATAACGAGCAGCAGCATTTTGCCAACGAAATCTACCATTTTCCTATTTCCGATGATCAGATTGTGCATTTGCTATTTTTTTTCCAAGGAACATCTATAACAATTGCGAATTTACAAATTGTCCGTGCACACAAATGTCAACTCCGGGTCCTTCCAATTTCCACACCAGGGGATAGCAGCCGCAGAAGCCGTGCCCGAACCTCCGAAAACAAACCCTCGCAAGTTTAACTATTCAGTGAAGAGCAGACCATGGCTATTTCATCACCGTTCGCCACAGCAACGTTAATGGGCAACAGTCGAAACGTGTTTTAAGGCCTTGCAACAACCTTGGCGCTAAGGTTAAATAATCCTTTCGTGCCTAGTGGTTATACACGAGGTGTGCAACTCAAGGAGGTTGTAGGTTGAGTGTAGAATGGTTTGAGGCTTCCAACGCTCAGGTTCAAGCAATTTGGCGTGTTTAAAGGCTACCCCCCCGCCCCATCCACCCCTCAAAGCTGCTCAACAACAAAGTGTCGCCAACACAGGATTCACGAAAGCCATTTTTTTTTGCAAACGTACGGTCATTCATACCCCCACTGGTCATTAAAAGGACACGATTTTTTTTCTAAAATAAACTCTAAAAAAATGTATTCCACTAAGACAAGTCCAAATAGCAGTGTTTTAAAATTCATAGAATTTTAGGCCATATATGCCTTCTTGGGAGTATTATCAGCCACTTTAACTTTCTAACTGTCCTGAAAGGTAAAAGGCTCAGCCCTACCATTCCGTGCTCACACCACTGCTGGTGAAAGGGCCTCTCTCTGCAAGAGGGCGCTGCAAGGGGGGTATATTGATCTCCTCTTCCACACTGGCCCGGAAATCTGGCAATAATCTATGGGACCCTTTTTGCCGGTATCAAGATGAAAAAAAAGGTAGAGGCTTTACCCTGTCCAGCAATACTATCGGGTCTTATGCTATCCCATAGATATAACTGCTCAACCTGACCTATTAATAACGCTTTGATGAGTTGCATTGTCTTTGTGCTGGTCACGTTTTGCTGTCCTATCGTCAAACACCGGTGAGACAAGGCCAATAAAGGAGGCTGTCTCTGGTGTAGGCCGATCAGTTTCAAGGACAATGCATAACATTATCATCAAAGCATGTTTTGTTTGCATGTTTACCACACGCATACATGGTGAATGCAGACTTGAAGCCTTGCAATAGGTGTATAGTTGGCGTTTTAACATCTTAACACCTCCTGTTTAATTCCTGCAAAGGGGAAAGCCTATTTTGTTCATCTTGTAAATAAGTTCAAGTACCCATACTTTACCACATCACACATGACAATGCCAATCAACTGTGGTGCACCCAGATATCTAATTGTATATTGACACAGCGCCTTCACTCAAGGTGCTTGACACAGCATAGACAACTGTCGTGGAATCTAACGATTTACATGGCAGGAGCGTGCTGCAAGGATTGAGCAATGAGTGACAGCAGAGACAGAGGGCTACTTGGGGATCACGAAAGGGTAGGGGAGGGATGGGAAGGAGTGGAGGGGGCAAGGGGAGGGAAGAGAAGGAATGAGAAATAAAGAGGTGAGGCTTAAGAGAGGAATGGGAAGTGGTTAAGGAGGGGGACCCGCTTAATGTACCATGGAAGTTGATGCCAGTGGAGGCGTGCAAGGAAAGAGGACTGAACACGGGATTGAGCACGGGGAGGAGGAACAGATAGAGAAAAGATTGGGAATTAAGAGGGCGAGAGGACAGGAGATGAGAGAGGAGAGATGATCAGGTGGGTGGCAAGGCCATGGAAAGATTTAAAGATTCAGCTATTTGAAAAGACTGCGGTGTATTGAACAGGAAGCCCATGGAGTTGAAGGAGGAGGCAAAGTGGTGAGAATTAATTGGGAGATTGAAAATAACCCACGAGGAAGAATTGTTTTTATTTGTTGGGAGAGTAGTGATGGTGACCAAGAAGAACGAAATTCCAGATGGGTGAAGAGCAGAGAATGAACTAGGAGGGTCTGCGGAAAATATGAACATCCTGATGATTGAGATAAACTGAGATTGAGATTAGTTTCTGGGTAGCCAGAGGGAAGGGGAAGATTTAATCAACTTGCTAATTCTCAACCGCCATGCCCGGAGATCGAACCGGCGACCCCTGGATTGCAGGGTCCAGTGTGTGCTGACCATTAACACCCCTGCGGCAGAGTCCCTGCTCGTCCTCACTAAAAGCTTCATCTGCTGATGTTCCCAAGACAAAATAACGTAATTAATTCTGTCACATCGTCTCCACGTTTTAACTTCTGTTTAAAGTCATTGTCTGCGTAACACACAACTTCCATCATCCTCTTCTTCGCTGTGCAGCATATATGGCCTAACAAAGCCTTTAAATGCCTTCTGACGCATGCTTCATTTCAAAATGGATTAAACCTTCAAAGAATATCTTTTTTTCACTGAATATTACACATCACAAAAAACGCCGTCCAAACGTTGTTTTCTTTGTTAACAAAACGAAATGTTTTCATAGGTGCATAAGTCCAACCCGAGTTGTGACGGTTGAGTAGCTATTAAACAGATATTCTATATTTTACGCAATGATAGCATTAATGTTGCCAAACAGAATGGAAAAAAAATACATGTAGTCTTTTGATACCGCTCATAAGACCATATTCTCTAAGGTCACTTCTATCCATGTTAAGTCCACTTAGTAACATGGAGATTAATCATTTGTTTAGATTATAACAGCCTGTTTTGAGTGCTTAGAATTTATTCCTTTAGAGAACTAGCTGAGCTTGTGCAATTAGAACACTAACCAAATATCCTTCCCCAAACAGTCCAATTTTCCAGATGCATTTGCCCAATAAACTTTATTTTACACTCTGTTTACACATATACTCACAAGTATACGGTTCCAGTCCAGTTAGTATTTTTTTTGCTGTCGTTTTTTTCCTCTCAAATCTTAAGAATTAAACGGGAAGGGTGTGCAAGACTTGGATCCAAGCGCTCTGTGGCCGTTGCCATCGTAGTCGGAGGATGACGAGGAGGTGGACGAGGAGGAGGAAGTAAGGGGGCAGCGTCGTCACCCCCCCACCCAAGGCCTCCTCATATGAGGCGGCTGCGTTTGTGCGTCGGCGAGTCCGTGATCACGTCGGGGCACTGCGACGTGGCCGAGCGCTTGCGCGCGCTGGCCGCCATCGCCGCCGCCGCCGTCGTGGTGGTGGTGCCCCCCTCCAGGTGCAAGGCCATCTCCTCCGAGATGAACGTGTTGAGGTCCATGTCGTGCAGGCTGGAGCGGCGGCGCGACGGGCCCGAGCCGCCGGCCGCGTGCGTGGGCGAGCCCGGGTTGCCCGAGCGCATGCTGATGCTCGCCATCGCTCCGCTCAGGCCTGTGCTCGCCAAACGCGCACGAAAAAGCGCACGCCAACGCGCACGCCAACGAGCGCGCACACGCCCCCCACACGGGGGCGCAAACACGCACGCACGCGCATCCGGGGTGAGAGTTACTATTTAAATACTATTATTTGTTTAACCACGTAAGGATCACACTGAGCTAGGTAGCTCTTTTCAGAAGTGACCTGGCTATCACAAATGATAGCTCAACGAAGCGGTTTATCATACGTGGAAATGTATAGCAACCAAATACTATAAAATGCATGTGTTTAAAATGTGGAGGGAAAAACTGGAAGACCCAGAGAAAAAGCCACCCTACCACGGGAAGAACATGCATATCCTTAGGTTTTTTCGGTAAAGTGACTTTACCGAAAAAACCTAAGGATATGAATCATTGCAGTCACGAAAGCTTCAAATCTAGAAAGAACATGCATACTTCAAATATACAGGCATCAGGGTCGGGATCAAACCCACAACCTCCTACATACCAGGCGGGGTAGTTCATTAACATCTCACACGGAGCCGCACGTTCACGACAAGCGTCACACTCTGGGAATCTCGAGCTGTCTCCATAGCTGGCACACGACCTGTTCTTACACTTTTTTGTGACATGGATAGACTGCTACTTGCCATAGGAATGTGGAATAGCCATAACTTGCTTAGGACCACGGATGGAGATGGTCACTGCCCAATGCTTGTTTGAGCATTGGAAGCACTCAGACTTTTAGCACATTTAGTATCTACATTGAACTGTATGTACGTAGAACTTATTTCGCACCATTCGTAGCCAACCGTGTTAATCAGAGGTACAGGAGAAGGATAAACGAAACAAAAAAAGCAGTTCTAAAGAAATTAATTCTCAATTTAGATTTAAAATGCATAGCTCCAGTGGCTTCCTAATATCGGAGGAGCGTTACAGATGGCCACGGAAGCGCATCTGAAAGCGCGCAATGCGGAGACCGTCTTTGTTCGATGACTAGCCAAAAGCCACTGCTGCGGGGATGATGGTTTATGCTTCTTGACGAGATCGGCGAGGTATTATTGTTAATTTGTGGCGAGCACTTTATGTGCAATGAGTGCGACCTGAAATGGTTTCCTCCCATGTCCACACAGCGTGTTCTACATCGGGGAAACTCAGAACACTTTACACGTGGATAAGCGGCTTGCATCTAAGCTGGACCCACAAAGTAATTAAAGTAGAAGTCAGAAAAAAGGATGCATATAAAAGAAGACCTGATGTAGGCAGTGATGAAAAGGAAACTGGCACTGTCTGGACACATGTGTAGGATGGACAACAGGAAAAGTGAAAGTGTCTTGTTCGGGAAGAAATGGACGGAACCGAAGAGGAAGACCAAACAGAGAATGGCTTGATGACGACGACATAAGAGATTCGTTCCAAAAAGATGTGGAAACAAATGCCGAAATGTGCAGTGATGATGATGATGATGGAAGTGACTTGCATGAAATCTCTCAAACAATGTTTCTTTGTTTATTTTACCAGGTAAAATATCCAGTATGGGTGGGTCAGCAGGACGGGATTTTCAGCTTCGAGATGAGGCCGCATGGCTAATTGTCTCTGTGTCAGACACGTATGCCAACTTTGCATCTTGTTCTCAAGCGACTTGGCGCCCTCTGCTGGACTTACCATGTCCTGTATGTCAAACTAAACTCAAACTATATAAGGGGATCTCTTTGCCACCATCAACAGATGAAAAATAACCACACAAACTGCCAACATAAACTACTCTGGTAATATATGCATTACCAGAGCATGTTCTGTATGCACGTTCACCACAAGTATGTGTGGTTAATGCAGACTTGATTCCCTGCAAAAGGTTTCCATTTGGTGTTTGAACATCTGAACACCTGTTTTATTGACAGAAAGGCTAAAACCCATTCTTATTCTTTCTACTCAAACTATTTTTTATTTTACCAAGTAAGGCCCACTGAGCTGTATAGTTTTTGTCAGAAGCAACATGGCCACAAATGATAGCTAAACGCGGAAAATTATAGTAGCAGTCGAATACTCGAAACGCACATTTTTCTACATGTGGAAGGCAAAAAGCAGAGGACCCCGAGAAAAATCGATGCGACAAGGGGGAGAACATACAAACTCCAAATATACAGCGGGCATCAGGGTCAGGAACAAACCCACGACCTCCTGTATACCAGGTGAGGTAGTTCACATCTCACCACCGTGGCGTATGAGGAGTGGGGTTGCCTGCAATTGCCGCAAAGGGTCGCTGTTGTATTTGTGGGGGTGTGCTAATGACACCCTTGGAATGTCCTGGCAGTGCCCACTTTACCAGCATTGCCTTGGACACCAGTGGGAATTTTTTAATCGGACCTGAATTGCTTTTTTTTACTTTGCAGGGGGAACTCGGTGACAACGCCTTCTAGTTTGGCAGTGTTGTTGTCGTTGCGAGTTCCTGTTTACAACTGCTGCTTGTCCTTCCTCTTGGCAAGTGTGAATAGGTCCCTACAACATCTGAACACTCAGGTCTGCTGCTCTACAATACAGTAGTCCCTCGGTTGACGTTTTTAATCCATTCCATGAACACTTCTGTTAATCAAAATAAGTATTAATCGAATGCACTAAAAGTTTAAAGGAAGAAAAAAATATCACCGAGTCTGCAAGAGAGCTGTTTCCACAGCCAAACAGAAATCAGTGTAAACAAAGCCAGTGGAGGTCTAAATGCTCATAAATGGGCGTCGCTGATTGGCTGAGGGCATGGCTCAGTCCCACTTAAGAGCGCTCGGATTGGCCAAAATTAGCGCCTGCGTGCATAACGTCAACATGACCGTGAATCAACATTTTTACATTAGTCAAAACCATGGGAATCCTATGGAAGGTGAAACGTTAAACGCAAAAACCGTTAAGCGAGGGACCTACTGTATATGCCGGCCTGACCAGAATGACCCAAGCCCTCCGCTGGTGTTTTTGTGTGCCCAACCCTACAGCTCAGTTGTAAAATCAGTAAGTCTAGTAATCGCTTTACTTCTGCAAATATTGTTCCGTTCACCGTAATTTTTGTTACGTAACAAATTTAGTGTTTTGTTTTTGCTGTGTGTCATTATTGGACTTCCTTGTAATACATACCTGTTGCAATACGGACCGAATTTCCTTAGTGCATGTATTGCAACTAAGAACTCAAATAGCCACCTTGTTGGATGGTATCACTAAAGGTGTGTTTTAGTGTATTGACATCATAGTCAATATGTACTTTGTCCCTAGACTGTCCAGCTATTTTTTCAAAATATAAAACGAGCATTTTGTTGTCACGTGACCCTCATTGTCCGTACACAGGGAGCATTCTTTGTTAAGCAGGTAATTTATTTGAATGCTTAAAGGAAGCAAGAATGTCACAATGCAAGGATTTGTGCAGGTGGGAAATGTTTTACGTGACTTTCACAAGAGTCTGCTATACATGTATAAATAAATCTAACATCCAAAAACAACTTTTTTTTTACCATCGCTTGAGACTCCTTGCGGCTCTCGTGAATAAACAAGGAAACATGAATATACTGTACACAGTTTTTAATTGGATACCTATCCAATTCGGACCATAACGTGCAGTGTACTAATTGGAAATCCATCTGGTTGGTGCAACGGAAAAAAGTTATTGCTTTACAATTGGAAGGTTAAGATTTCAAGTAATGATCAGGGAATTAGCCAGACCATCATCACCTTATGGGATGAATATAAAATGTGTACCACTTTGTGGAAAGCCAACCAGCGGGTTTGTCCCATGGTGAGACTGGCCCTCGCCATAGAAACATCTCATCGCTGTGACGAGATGTTAAAGGCCCTTGCCAGGTACGAAGGAGGTTGTAGATTCGTTTCTGACCCCGATGCCTGTATATTTGGAGTTTGCATGTTCTCCCCGTGGTCAGGTAGATTTTTATCCAGGTCGTTCGGTTTTTCCCTCCACATTTAGAATCAACATGCATTTAGAGCATTTGCCTGCTATAAATTTCCACATCATCAGCCACTTCATTAAGCTTTCATTTGGGGAAGGTCGCTTCTGAAAAAGAGCTAGAAAGTTCAGTGGGCCTTACCTCATAAAATATAAAGTTTAATAGTATAGCATAATAATTGATAATATACTACACTATGGAATGCTGCTGTCCTCCCAGCCAAGATGGAGTGGCTACGTACACACACGGTAATGCCATCAGGTGCCATGCACTGTTCTACGAGTGTGTGTTGTGGCGAGGTGTGTCGGGAACCAGTGTAGTGGTGAGCGCACTGCACTAGGAACCGACAACCAGAGTTCAATTCACGCTCGCAGCCAACAAATGGTGACAAATATCTGACCTGGACCTCCTTTACATTGACCTAGCCTTAAATGAGTACCTGGTGCTGTGTGTAAAAACATCACCAGTGGGGAGACAAAGGTGGCCAAGCATGATGCAAGCCGCAACACCACCTCGTATGCCCCGTGCCAGCCTTAAAAGATGCATGCTAGAGAGGCACTTAAACTAAACAAAATTATTATTTTATTTTACCAGGCAAGGCCCACTGAGCTGTATAGCTCTTTTTCAGAAGCAACCCAGCCACATATGATAACTCAACGAAGTGGCTGATCACGTGGACATTTATATAAGCCAAATACTCCAAACGCACGTTTCAAAATGTGGAGGGAAAACTGGAGGACTCGGAGAAAAATCCACGCCACGAAGGGGAGACAGGTAAACTCCAAAAATACAGGTGTTCATGTTGTTGTCGGGAAGCATGCGTGTTTGTGTAGTCACATGTTTACGTGTGAAGGAGGGAGCATGTGTGTTTGTGTATATTTGTGTGTATAGGGAGAGGGGAGCGTGTGTGTGTTTTGTGTGTCGTTGGTAGGTAGTGTGTGATAACTGGAGAACGTATGGATTTGTTAGACGGTGTATGTGTCAGGAGTCGTGCGTCTCGTGTGCGAGGCCCTCTCCTCACCGTGCAGGGCGATGGCCTCGCGGAAGGGCTGCAGGTCAGTATCGTCGGTGGGGCTGGGCTCCGTGGGGGCGACGCGGGGGGAGGCCGGGATGCCTGAGAGGCGCGCAGGGGCGCGACAGCCGCCGCGGGACGGCGGAGGTGGCGGCGACTTCCCGCACAGGAAGCTGATGAGGTCCTCGCGCCGGATGGTGCGCCGCCGCTTCTTGGCCCAGGCGAGAACGTCGCGCGTCCGCCGCTGCAGCCCCATCTGTGCGCCGTGCTCGTAGCTCCTCCGGTGCGTCTCTGCGCCGTCTGTCGCGCGGCGGGGAGGGAGGTGGGGGAGGTGGGGGAGGTGGGGGGGGGTGGGGTGGGGGGGTGGGAGAGCCGCACGCACGCGGTGCGGGGGCCACGCGAAAACGGAGATGGGCGCGAGTTTTTACGATATTCGTTCGATGCTCCGCACGCGACGACGCTCTTGCAACGACGACACCGAGAGGTTTCCAGGCGGGGAGTCCACGCTCTCACGACGACGATGACACACCCAGAGGTTCCCACACGGCGTGACGACGCGAGCAGCAGGCCCCTGACACGCCAACGCAAATCTTTCTTACGTTCGCAATCCAAACGGCAGTCGCAATGCCCAAGAATAAACTAACTAAATGCACTCACGCATGCCTGAAAGACATCGCTCAACCTATCAATTTATTTATGTAAACATTTAAAAAGCAAATTAATAGCATTATTGCTAAGAGTTTATATATATAATGCTGGATTCATAAGAAGCAATTATCATGTTTATCACAATTCACACGAGAATAAATGTACGTAATAAACCGTTATTCATGCCAAATAATGCTCAAAAGTTACCTTCAGGCCAATGCAATTTTGATGGAACAATCCAGAACACAGGGACAGACAGCACAAAGGCGGCAACACAAACAAGCATCGATGTTTACATCGATCCACCACCGACACTCGTCCAACCGCGTAGGATCAGCTGTTAGATGCCCAGGTAATACTACGAAGCGGGAATCACGTGTACCCAAGCACTCAAAACATACAAACGCTAATGCAAATCAATCTACATTTGAACGCGTGTCAACACGAATGCTACGTGATTGACTTGGCGCGCTAAGTGCCACCGTGAGATACCATCAATTGAATAGATTATCGGCCTCTTAGGCTTTGCACAAATTTTGCAGTGCCAACTATGCAATTGCACAACAGTCTGGAACGTCTGTACAGAATTACCCAAGCATTCTGCCCGGCTAAAAATTGGGCATTGCTTTCAAGGGTATGCCGACTGAATGTTGGGGTAAGAAAAAATAATACAAATATATGTTAATTTATGACCCTCAACTGAATGCTGGAAAACAAATTACTGTTCCTTCTTACCGTTAAATTCGAGGTTATCCCCGTATACACTACAACGGATCGTTAAAGAGTAGTTGGCCGCTATAAATTTCCACGTGATAAGCTACTTCGTTGAGCTATCATTTGTGGCCAGGTCGCATCTGAAAAAAAGCTATAGAGCTCAGTGGGGCCTTACCTGATAAAATAAAAATTAGTTTATAGTTTAGTCATCTTAAGAATCTCTTGTAAAAGACCGGCATTACTGCTGGTATTGACGACTTCCGATAGACGATTTGGGCATGACAAAAACAGGGCATGCTGAAAATAACGTTTTTGTTGCTTGTCAAAGGCAAAACTTTGCCACTTCACGTTTACAGCATTCCAAGATGCGTTTCCTACTTTTCTCTTTATTCCCGCGCATTGTTGCTGAACAAAAGACCGTTCCCACGGATAATGCGGTTAGAAATTATGCAATCAAGGAATGTCCCAAACAAACAAGGAATGCTGCCGGTCGCTTTAATCCCCTCCACTGTTGTCACCGGGCTAGGCGCAGAGAATCCACTAGCAGTGTGCGGAGGTGAGCAAAGCAATTTAAATGTACAAAGAGACATGCCGGACAAAGAAAAGGGTAGCCGTCTACAACATTATGCACTGCATTGGGGGAGTGAGAGTAATTTCGGATCGTAAACGGATAAATATTAATTGGGTTAACACATAGTAGTAGTAGGCTTTCTTGACCAATATTATCCATAATAAAAGTTTTGTTTGGCTTAGATCGCGTAAATATAAATGTGTTGATGTGTTGCTAAACCTGCCACACCGCCCGACAGCCAATTCGTAAAGTGTTTCACGTAAACAAAACATGCCAATTAGTTACTCATACAGCACTGGTACGTTGGAGAGTAATTTGTTGTAGTGGGTTTACTCTCCCACACACCAGTGTGCTGACATTTTATTGTGCACGGAGCTGCTTCACCCACCGAAAATAAAAACCACGTAGGACCTTTAAGCTGATTAAACTCGTGACACAATATTACCCATGTAATACGGGTTTCAACTGAAAGTCATCGGGCAGGGTGTGACCGCTGAAATAAATGCTGCTTGCTTTCCTGAAATGAACAGGCAAGAGCCCTGCATGGACACTGTGGGTCAATTGAGCACATTGCACAGCAACGTACGTGTAATTCAATCGAGCGAGCCCGAGACTGTATTAGCACCAAATAATACAATTAACATTAAAGTCCATCTGGTTAATGGTGCCTTCCAGACCTATGTTTCCCATCGTCATCACGTGGACATGTTGCCCTCTCCCGTGTTGCAGGTGCAGCCAGGGAAAGAGAAAGTCTGGGTGACTGCACGGGGCCACAGTGTCTGTGCCAACTATGCAATGGACACGGATTCAATCCAAACCGGTTCTTTACACGAGCGATACATTAATCAAAGCACGCGAGTAAGAGCCGATTGTGTACGTGTATACAACTGGGTCGTAAAAACCCTGCAGCAACATAGCAGAAAAAATATTCTTAAATCCATGGAGTTTCGATTGTTACGAGTCAATGAAATGGCAGCCTGACAAGGTTAGTCCGAGTAATTCCTCGAAGGCAATACTGAACTCTCAGCTCAGAAAATTGCAGATGTTCGCATTCCTCTAAAACCTTTATATTACAATTAATCAGGCAAGGGTAAATGTGTTGTTTACTGGTCTGAAGTGGCCATATCCATTGTGGAGCAGATTGATAAAATTTAGTTTTAAAAGGAAAAAGATTTCCAAGGAATGATTGACGCAACATACATCTCGCACCACTTTTACGAATTCCCAATATCAGGCTCCCGTGGACATTGCCAGTAGGTCAAGGTTGGCCAAGACAGGGAGCGATGGGGGCAAGTTATAAAATCGCACACACACCGTAAACAAATCAAGACGAGCCATCCTCCTACACACACACAAAACGAAGCACGTTATGTGCGCAATAATCAATTTTAATTGAATCCATGCAACAATGCATGCCTAACAACAGCTTTGTGCATCCAGGGCAAAAGAAAACGTCTGTTTCAAAGTCGTTTCTCTCACCTAGTTTAATCGTTCGTTTACATTACATTGTGTGTGTGTGGGTACATGTTTACTGTGAGCTTTGAGTGTGATCAATGAGCACGGCAGTTAAATCAGCTCTCAGCAGCAGCACCGTGACTGGTACGCTGCCGTGACGATGACGCTCACGCTGGGAGCCAGACTCGCCGCGTCAGTGGATATCAGCTGCAGAAGCGGCATGCGCCGGGGTAGTTTAAACACGGTGGAGATGGCAGCACGTGAGAAACGATGAGAGGAGGGGGGGGGGGCTCCCGTCAGAGGTGACTCAACAGTTTCCCGTCCACGGCAGGAATCAAATAGCTGCTCTGCCGTGGAACTATCTTGCTTTGGTAAGTAAATAAACACCCGCTTGCTTTGGTCGAGTTTTCCATTATCGCTGAATGCCACGAATCTTAGGGGTGACTACAATGTGGCGGCTTTTGAGTCTGAGGGTCTCATCCTACAGAGTAAGAATCCAAAATTGTGCACCCAGGGCCTCAAAATCCAGAACCTTAACCAACCCTTTCCCCGTTCTAACCCTTTAAAGCTTAAGGATGGTGTTGTTATTGACAAGTGTTGAGAGCTGTTTAATTAAAACTAAAATTATTATTTTATCAAGTAAAGCCCATTGAGCTATACATCCCTTTTTCAGAAGCGACCCGGCCACAAATGATAGCTGAACGAAGTGGCTTATCATGTGGAAATGTATAGCAGCCAAATACTCTAAGCGTGTGATATTGATTCTAAATGTGGAGGGGAAAACCAGAGGACCCGAAGAAATTTTCGCACAACCACGGGGAGAGAGATGCGCAAAATACAAATATTACAGGTGTCAGGGGGTGGGGGATCGAACCCACGAGCTCCTGTATACCAGGCGAGGGAGTTAACATCTCGCGACCGTGGCGCCCAAATTAGCTCTTAGGCATAGCAACAAGTAAACCCGTAAAAACAAAGTTTTTCACTATAAATCCTTTATATGCGTGGCGGCTAGAGTCTTCTCGTCCTCTGGCTTGAGATGGCTGCCACCTATGGGTCAGATGATTGTCTGCCACCATTAAGCAATTGGTAATTAAATATTTAATTTGTTTTCCCTAAACAGTGTAAAATTTTGGAATTTTTTTTCACGAAAATTATTTGTCACACACGAGTCTGTGTGGAAAATGTCAGCTCGATCGGATTACGGGAAGTGGGTTAAAAAACGAGCGAAAGATTTGCACGGTCCTAAGCAAGCAAGCGAACTTAATATAAAGGATCTAAAAATATATTCGCCTGTGGAGGACGCGGGGATCGATCCCGCGACCTTTGGCATGGGAAGCGAGGGCGCTACCGACTGCGCTACTCCGCCACGGCCTGTGGAGGGGTTACGCTCTGGGCTCTTATACTGTGACGTTCAGCCAAAGCCATGAATGGGTCCTATTTGAATATGTAAAATACATTTATTTTTGCCTAAAAAGTGTAAAATTTTTGGAATTTTTTTTTCACGAACATTAATTGTCTAGCACAACGAGTCTGTGTGGAAACTGTCAGCTCGATTGGATCACGGGAAGTGGGTTAAAAAACGACCGAAAGATTTGCACGGTCGTAAGCAAGCAAGCACGCAAGCAAGCAAGCGAACTTAATATAAAGGATTTAAAAAGTAGGCCATCAGCCACCCAAAAGTCACATCCGAGCCACACACACTGCGAGCCTCAAGCAATGAACCTCCATTATCCTAAGGGTTCCTACTGACACCTACTAAACATTAGGGAACAAACACGTACGTATGTATACATGTTGAAATTCTTTCACACCGTACGTAGCCAACCATGCTCATCGGAGGTGCGGGGAAGGACAAAACACAAAAAGCAGCCACCTCTAATAAAACAACAAATGATCCTCATGGCGGTACCCC